ATCTTTCAGAAATACGTGACCAAAAACTACACCAACATGAAGAACGATGATCCCTATTGTAAACTGAAAGATGCAGAAAACGCGTCTGACGAAGCCGAAAACGAGACATTTGAAGAATTGATGAAGGATTTGATTCGCTACTCATGGCAGATAGCACTTGGCATGGTAAAATGATGAATAGCTATTTTGTATTAGACTAGACTAGATCAATTCTGTATTGATTATATTGATGGCAATATTCGCCCATCAAAGGAAGTCAAAACTATTGATAAAAAGGAATTAAGATCTTGCTTTTCAGCAGATATAAAGTGACATTATCGTACAAAGATTAAATACCCACAGTGCCGTTTGGTCGTCATTCGTTCGTTTCGCTCTGACAACATTTTTTGAATTAGCTGTATCGCGATCTTGAGATTTTATATAGTCCGCTTTTGCGRCGGGAAACTTCAAACGGTCCCAAGGATGTCCATTGTAACTAGAGATCACTGTACTCCTATTTTTCCCCACTTATACTCTCTAGACTTCGTATAAGACCTTACAGTCTACACTGATGATTTTCATATTTTGTATTGTGTGTGAAATCATAATTCATCTAGTGGACTATTTCTCCTTAGGAATACCTGGCATCAAAAGGAATCGTCCATCGTGATCTGGCCGCTCGTAATATCCTGATAGGTGAAAATTACTTGATAAAAGTCGCAGATTTTGGACTTTCTCGTAACATGTCATACAGCCACATCTACAAAGCGCAAACCACTCTCAAGCTGCCGTTGAAATGGATGTCTCCTGAAGCAATATTTGACCAGACATTCACCGTGAAAAGTGACGTGTAAGTTCAAAATATTGTTACAAAGAAAGAAAATCATATTGAAGTAAGGTCCGTCTAACTAGCTCGCGAATGTATGCGACTAAAACCCGTGAGTCGACTGATAGTAGTTAATATTCCAGAGAGTATGTCCACGGATCGATCACTTTGGTTAGCGCCATTCTTTGACAGTCGATGGATACAGGAATCCATACCCTTCCCCCTTCGTAGATTGCTGGACCCACCCCTGAGTTCTTAAGCATTTAGCAAATRAGTGTTATACGCGGCCTAAGTGCAACAACTCACAAACATATTTATAAAACTTATTAATAATGCATAAGCTATTGCTCCAATAAGGGCTGACCATTTAATCAGGTGATTGACCTTGTAAATCTGATACAACCACTAGTGGTTGTATCAGATTTACAACACGGTCGTCACCATTGAGACAACCCAACACTAGCAAAGGTCTCAGTTTTAGTGTCGCATCATAGACCTTCACTAGGTTTTGAAGCAATCAAAGACGGATAACAGAACTCGCTTATGCAACAGATGGCTTGCTTTCCATGTGGGATGGATAATTATTCAAAATGTTCTGTGTTGCAGTAAATTGCGCATGCTTAATAGGGACTAAACTCAGCAGTTACCTTATTTGTCATTTTTCGTCATTTATCTCACTGTAATTCATGTTAATTTGTGTTGGAGTTTTATAAGTCGTTTACAACATTCGCGTCCGTGTTGTATGGGAATTACAATCTCTCGCCTGCGGCTCGAGATTGTAATTCCCATACAACACGGCCGCTCATGTTGTAAACTATACTTAAACAATATATTTTCATTGCACAGGTGGTCATACGGTGTGGTTCTCTGGGAGATCTTCTCCATGGGTAAGTACTTTTATTAACTTCATTGTATATGACCCTAGAAACACTTATTAACACTTAATTGCATTGTTATAGGCATGGCACCGTATCCTTCCATGACCAACGCGGCAGTTCTGCGTAAGCTGAGAGCTGGATATCGTATGAAGAAGCCTGATCTTTGCCCTGACGACATGTGAGACTCATTTCTGCTTTTGTGCTCGCGACTTAAATATGATTTTGATGTGATTTTTGCGGTCATTTTGATCCTAGAGAATAARTCTTAAGAGTCAACTTGTAAAGTTTTACCAGTCAGTGCACTGAGATGAGCCAGCTAAATGTCTTTTAAAAAGGATAAGYCAAAATTWATTTATTTGTGGATATCGCCCGAAATATCGCAGCGAAAAAGAAATTAAAAATCGACGCCCATCTAATAAGGTTGATGTAAGTGGGACTTACWAGTGCGTTTTTTACATATTGATTATACAAACCCCTTATAATGCTGCACCCTGATGATATACTTCTGAAGAAGCTTCCATACTATATCGCATACGCAATGCATTGTAGGATACGTTAGGGGCAAAACATGGTCGATTTCTTTTGTCTAATTCTTAAAAAAAACAATCCCACAATGCATCAAAGAAWGTAAGTGACGTAAAATATTCAGAGGTGTATTATGTGTGTTTCATTAGATACTCAGTGATGAGGAGCTGTTGGGAGGAACAACCTAGTGCTCGCCCTACATTCAAAGACATCATCGAAACTCTCGAAATTACCATGACACGAGAAAACCCTTACTTTGAATTACTTGAGACCACTCAAGCTGGCAAAGACTACGAAATCCCCAAATTAGACGTCAATGTCACAGATGAATCGACAGACGAAGAAAAAGAAACCGAATTCTAAAATGAAATAATACGCCCGAGGGGGAGGGGGTTGTGAGTAATTGCTCGTCGTTTGATGAAAATAACCAATTTGGTATATTTGTAGGATTTCAAATTTAACTTTAGGAAATACGAGTAGTAATTGTAATCTTTTAAGCAGTCAGAAAAATATATAGGAAAATTAACCAGTGCAATAAGCGTCTTAATACATGACATTTAGAGCAATTAATAGTATTTAATAATCGTTTTGTTACGCCCTTTTGGGATAACTTTTGGTATCTTTAGGGGTATTTCGGAAAATCTCCGACGAGCACACTCGCAAGTTACTCTCCACCCACCGAGGATAAACCGTCGTTTGAACACAATGATTCTAATTGTTAAAACTATGATTTCGGTGTTGTGAAGCTACATGCAACTGTAAGACGCTAAGTTATAAGGACGGTCACAAGTCTTATTGCTCAAGTAAGTAATTTAAAGTTCATAATTCACAAATTATATTCTTATTTAGCTTTGGGAAAATGGATAGGAAAACCGCTTTATCTACTGCATGATGCGTAGAAATTTTCACATGATAAATTGTCTCTTCTTTGCTTTATTCGTTTTTGTGACGAAAGGCCTTATGGGACCTCTCGTCACTATATCATCGTGTCGAGTGACGAAACGTAACCATCCACTTGTAGCAGGCGTTCCTTGCGAGTCCATGATATGTTTTTAAACTTAAACGTTGAAAAGAGAAAATCATCTAGAGAAAAACAAACGAAGTAACAACAGCAAAGAAAAGAAGAAAAGAAAACAAGAAAGAAGAAAAAAAAAAACAAGAAACAAACGGAAAAGAAACAACAAACAAGCGAAAAAAAGAGAAATTCCAGAAGCAGGACTTGAACTCAGAACTTTCACTTCAGAAGAAGATGCACCCCCCTGGATACATAAGAAATAATAAAAATAAAAAAAACTAAAAAGATGGGACGATTCCCCCGAGACATTCTATGAAGCTGAGGCGGCGAATCGGCTTACGTTACGGTTAGAGATTTCGGCTCTTCCACGCTATCCCGAGTGAACATAAAACTTAGTCTTAACCAAAAGGCCAGGGAGTGAGGGGGTAGCCGCCCACTAGAGCATACCTCTAGCTACCCTCTTAGACCATCGTACTATGAAGACACTTATAGATATTTGATATCTAATGGGGGTAGTCTATTCGGTGAAGTTCTATGCTAATATATGACGTCACCAATATCCTTAGGGATCAGCGATAATTAAGGAACGATACAGGCTTTGCATAATCATTCTTCAGTGGATTTATTATTTGATGGGGGGTGGGGATGGGTGCTGAGTGCTCGTTTGCGGCCGAATACCGATGTTCAATTGTTGTATGTTATTGTTTTTCAAATCATTAGAGGAAAATAAGGAGTACAGTTCTTATATCAGACAAACATTATGAGTATTCGGATAAACACCACGGCACAAATCTTTTGAAATTCTAAACGTAAGTGGTTTACAAACCAGGAAGATATTTCCTGTAGTTCAACGGAACGCAATCAAAGACCTCTAGAACGTTCCATGTACATTTTCGTTCTTGATGATATAAAAGTTTTTAAAAATACACATTATTATTGAATGTAAATATAGTGAATGCTAACAATTGAAGAGGATGAATGATAATGCGTAGATAAAATTGATAAAGAAATCAAGGAAAACTTAGCAAGCTTTCTCTTCTATTAGACTTCTATTGCAAAACTATAATCAGGCGAATAACACATGAATGCAAAAAACAGTTTCGATGATAAAAACATTTAATCGAAGAAAACGTTCGAGAATTTATCATGAGTTTATAAGTCAACAGATACAGAAAGATGTCTTTGATTAGAGCTAAATAAAGCTCTAAGGGCCGCTCCATGTTGTGGATAAAAATTCCTTTACCGAATCATTCAGACGGATATGTTTACCGTAGGCAGGGAAAAGGGCGCCCCGCGTCAGGCCCCTCGGGAGGAATGATCACCCATTACAATAGGTTCCTTGGCCCGTGAGAATCGCCGCATGTTGTATAATGGTTGATCGCCACGTGGATGRTTCCAGTTCCTTGCAGCATATAAAGATTATTCAAAAAACGTTGTATACTGAAGATAGTGTATTCGAAGTTTACTAAATCTCTTAATGGCCTGAGTCACATGCAGTCCTCYACTGGCTATTTTTTTTATTCGGTACGCGGTGGTTCGGTAGAGATTCAGATATTTGTTGTCAAATTGTAATTTTGTTGTTGAACTATTATTTACTAGACTATATTTTAGTTAATCTGTTTGCCTTGGTTCATCAATATTATTAATGATGACAGTGAAATTGAAACATAACAACGTCTCTAAAGTAATTCATGTATTACATATTTCAATATTTAAAAAATACATTTATCTTACTTGTTTACTTATTTATTAGCTTTGTAACATTTACTTCTGTAATCTGAAGTATTTTAGACGCAAGGAGGAGAAAATCCCTTACAGGGCCTGCCTTGWAAAAATAAAGTCTCTCTGTTTCTATACATTAAATAATAGAGCGCTAGGTTTATATTGTGTTGTTGATTCAGAAAAAGTTCATTGCAATCTAACGATATAACTGCGTTCAATATCATCGAGAAACAGTCACGCTGAAATTTATAAGTACTCTACAGCTCTTTAAAATAATATTTTAGTTACTTTATTGTAAYGACATATGTTTATCAAATTAAAGCACTTATGCCCAGATTTCGTATAAGTTCTTGCTCGCCAGCTTAAAAAAGTCTTCAATAACTTAAATCTTATAATAAATATACGCATAAATTCCTTTCAAAACTTTCATTTTACAAAGCTTTTAGATGAAAAAAGCGCGTATATTCTTATACAAACAGTACACTAAGCAATTGTCTTTATGAACGCTTCAAAACATCCATTTAATGCCGTTGAACGGCGKGAGGTTGCCATGTTAGTTTACCAGGTAATTAGGAAACGACGAGAAAGCTTTCGGTTTCRACTGAAGTGAAAATGGTGCAATACTGACCACGTGTCAATTCCGGCTTGTTGAAGCTACATCATCGTGTAACTAGTCGTGTAAC